TCCCTTGTTTCTCCTGCTTTATCTTGCTTCTTTGTGTGGACTGTGATACTCTGTCATCTCCCAGAGACATTGTGAGTTTTTGTGTTTGTATTAATTGGTGATTGTATGCTGGAGTGAATCGCCCACAGTTTTCATTTTCTTTGTTTTGTTTGTATGTTATCTACCTAAGCAGGATACTGTGCTGTGCTGCTCTGTTTGCTAGTTATCAGCACTTATACACTCACCACCTGTCTCCTTTTCCATTGTCTGCTTCTCGTATGTCCCTCCCGTCCTTGGCAAATGGAGCCCACTCTTAGGTCCCTGGAATCCAAATGAGAATTATGTCACTTTAAAATCCAAAATGGCCACCACTTGTAAATACTCAAAATGACTGCATCCTTGGTCACTTTAAATATCCAAAATGGCCACCGTGTGTAAACAGTCAAAAATGGCTGCACCCTCTGGACAGCCGAAAGTCCATAGCTCAGGTTGTCTCCCTCCTTGCTGTTTCCCTTCCTAGACATAGACCACCAGCACAGTCGTCCCTGCAGCCTTTGGTGACCAGAGCTGATCTTTAGGTCAATTCTCAGGTCCCAAAACCAGTTGGAAATATTCAGGTTGTCAGTCTTTTCAGAGAAGCTGACAGTCCACTGCTCCAACCATCCCCATACTCACTGTTTTCATTCAAGTTTTTCCACTAGTTGGACCTAATCCACTTCTGTATACTTCCTTTCAAAGGTCAGGGCTCCAGGATTATTTTCTGTATCTCTGTTAATCGGTTTCTCTTTTCTTTGTTGAAGAGGGTCTGTGGAGCTTTTCTGCCTATTTCACCATCTTATTGAAAATCCTGTTTCCAACTTTTGTACTCCAATCACCAGTAATAACCAACATATCTTGATTGCATGTTTGGTCAATTTCAGACTGCAGAAGTTGATAAAAATCCTCAATTTCCTCATCTTTCGCTTCGATGGTTGGTGCATAAATTTGAATATTAGTAGTATTTACTGGTCTTCCTTGTAGGCATATGAATAGTTTCCTATCACTGACAGCATTGTATTTTGGAATAGATCTTGAAACATTCTTTGTGATGATGAATGCCACGCCATTCCCCTTCAATTTGTCATCCCCGGCATAGTAGATAACATGATTATCTAATTCAAAATGGCCCTAAACAGTCCATTTCAACTCGTTAATGCCGAGCATATCAATCTTTATGCATTCCATTTCATTTTTGACAACTTTTAATTTTCCTAGATTTCATACTTTGTACATTCTACGTTCTGACCATTAATGGATGTTTGCAGCTGTTTCTTCCCCTTTTTATTTGTGCCATGTTAGCAAACAGAGATCCCCAAAACTTTAATCCATCCACACAGTTAAGGTCAACTGTACTTTGAGGAGGCAACTCTTCTCCAGTCATATTTTGAATTCATTCTGTCCTCAGGGGCTCATCTTCTGGCACTATATCAGACAGTATTTCAGGGTTATTCATAAAGTTTTCTAGTACTATGTCAGATGGTGTTTCACTGCTATTCATAATGTTTTCACTGGCCAATTCTTTGAGAAGTGGATGACTCCTTCCTTCTTCCAAGCCTGTCTTAGTCTGAAAGCTCTGCTGAAATGTGTCCATCATGGGTGACCCTGCTTGTATTTGCATAGCCTCTAGCCTCACAGTGACACAAAAACCACTACAGTACATCAAACAGACCGATAAGTGGTGGGCAGAGAACATAGGTGTGCATATATTTATTTATTTATTCAGGCCCTGGATCTCACCTCTTTAGGATATATTCCCAGTAGTGGAATTGCTGGATTAAGTGGTGTTTCTGTTTCCATCTTTTTAAGGAAGTGCTATGCTGTTTTCCCCAATGGCTGTAACATTTTACAGTTCTGTTCCAATCTCTCTGCACCCTCACCAGAATAAGTTATTTTCTGCCTTGTTGAACTTTTCTATTACTGCTGGAGTGAGATGATATCTTGTCGTTGTTTTGATTTGCATCACTCTAATGGCTACTGATCATTATATTTCCTCATGTTTTTGTTGGCTGCCCAAATATCTTCTTTAGTGCAGAGTCTGTTCATGTCTTTTGCCCATTTTTTGTATTGGATTGTTTGTTGTTTTGATGGTGAGGTGTTGAAGTTTTCTATCAATTTTAGAGATAATTTCTTTGTCAGATATATTGTAGCCAAATATATTTTTTTCCTAATGTATAGGTTATCTTTTGATGTACATAAGAGGTCTTTCGATGTACATAAGAATTTAATTTTTAAAAGGTCCCATTCATTTAGTTTCTTTTATGCTGCTTATGAATTTTGTCTTATGCTTGGTAGTCTATTTTGCCATTAATTAGAGCCTCTAAGTTTTCCCCTGTTTTATCTTTGATGAACTTTATGGTTCTGGGTTTTATATTTAGGTCATTGATCTTTCTTGTTTCATTTTTCTGCAAATAGATATCATATTTTGCCAGCTGCATTTGTTAAAATATTTCTCCCATATTTAATGGGCTTCAGCCCTTTTTCAAAGATCAGCTTCCCATAAATGGATGGATTTCTTTCTGGATCCTCAATTCTGTTGCACTGATCTATTTGTCTGTCATTATACTAATACCATGCTATTTTGACTACTGTGGTGGTATAGTAGGTTTTGAGATCTGGGAGTGTGAGGCCTCCAATTTGTTTTTCTTCTTCAATAGTGCTTTGTTTATCCAAGATCTCTTTCCTTTCCATATAAACTTGTTGTTGTTGTTGTTGTTATTATGTGCCGTGGAGTGGGCCCCGACTCATAGCGACCCCTCCTTGGGTTTCCGAGGCAGTATCACTACGGAAGTAGGATTGCCCAACCTTCCTTCCGAGGAGTGGCTGGTGGGTTTG